GCTTAGCGCAGCGTTTAGGGTGGAACAACACCGCAGCGATTTTTATGAATCTGGAGAACAACTTTTCTGTACGTTTTGTTGGCGTACGATCGACTGGACGCAACAATACAGGCGATGACCACTTCCTGTCGGACATCAGAAACAGAGCAGCAGCAAGCTGGAGCAAGCCAGACTTCTCAAATTCAGCTATATCAGAACAAGTGAGGCCTGAGTTTATCAAAGATTTTTTGCTATGTGTGCAGGATCAGATAGTCCTTTAGAAAACATGAAAAAATTTTGTCCGTTTTTGATAAAGCAGTGTAAACAAGGAGAGGCTCTGCCACAACATAAGTAGGGTTACTGTCACATCAGTGCACCAGCAATCGTAGACGTAAAAAAACATATGCCTCCAATGTTCTCTTTGCTAGATAGATTTTCCAGGTAGCAGTGGGCGCAAAGTGTGCTGTTAGTGATGATGATGATGATGATGATTATGATGATGATGATGATGATGATGATGATGGAAAGGGAAGGCAGAAGGGGACGGCATTATCTCGGCAGCGAAAGCTTTGTGTGTGTTAAAATTATTACTAGTTAACTGCACTTACCGTCAGCTGTAAAACACAGRCCATTTAATGGGAGACGAGGAATACCCGGCAACCCTTGTCGCCACGGAGATGACATCCCATAAAGCCTTGTTTGCGCTCAGGAAATATTGGCATCTGATACTAGTCTGGTATTGATCGGAAAAGCTCATCAGACACTGACACAACGAGGGGAGGGSATGTGAACACCACTGTGCATTGGCATGCTCACCACACTTTGAATTCTTCCTTTGAATTTTGTCTCTTCTAAGTATTTATGGCTACTTCTTTTTTAATTTTTGGAGACATAAAAGCTTCACCTACAAGTGTAATTTAAAAAAAAAAACAAATCCATGTAGTACCGGCATTTAAAATAAAATCCCMAATTTATGCAAAAGTTTTGGTTTAACAGACTACAGTACTGTTTGTTAATTTCAATGATTGTTTGTATTTACTGTATGTACTTCTTATATTATTTCTGTCATGTGACACAGATTAGACCAATAATMAGTCTCAAGATTATGTTTGAGCAAMAATAACTTGAGCTGATTCATTTTTTGTGTCCTTTTGTTTGATCAACCCTACAGTAGGGACTGGTATTATACGTTTTGGGACAGTTTATGTGGCATACACACCTACTCGTGGGGACCTAATGTAACTTATAGGGACGTGACTGGTACTTATGAGGACCTAAGTATAGTCCCCCAGAGGAAATGCCATTGGTGGGTCAGGGGTTAAGTTTAGGACCAAGGTGTGAATTGAGTTTAGGTTAGTTTTAGGGTCAGGTGAAGTCAGGGTTTGTGGTCAGGGTTAGGCTGTAAAAATTACTGGAAGTCAATGCCAGGTCCCCATAAAGATAGCTGCACTAGACTGTGCATGCGTTAGTGTGTGTGTGTG